GGGACAGTTGATAATAGTGGATTTAGAAATCTTGTCATTTTGTTCTATATCAAATGTCAGTATATTATCCTGCATGCTATATCTTCCATTAGAGAAAGAGCTGCCACAATCTTTGTCAAACGCCATGTGAGACACACATCTGCTTTGGGATAAATGCACCTGATCGTAAAACGTTTCCCCCTCTTTCCCTCACAGTGTCTCACTCAGTCAGGCTTTAGATTAAGCCGGCCTTAGTTAATATTCCCGCGGTGGCATTGAGAACTGCTGTCAGGACTGCCTGAGCCCCCGCGAGTCCAGCGCTGCGGTGGGGGATGACTGACAATCGCCACCGTGTCTCATTCTCCTCGGAGACACCGAGTAGTCAATAATTCAGCAGGCGGGCGCACTCTCCTGCACAAACACAGGGATGTGGAGGCTCTGTCTCCCACATCTGTTTCAGTCTCTGAATTCCGTCCCCATCCTTTGTCTCGTACCCTCCGTCTCCTTATACCTACCCCCCCCCCCGTCACCTGCCGACACTCACTCCCTCTATATTGCACCGCTTCAATAATTCAAAGTCATATATGAAAGCCAATGAAAATTTGCCATACCTCGGGTCATTACGATGCCTGCCAGGGATTTGTGTCGAGCGTGCGCCGGACCGCAGCCCCCCACCAGCGACCGGTACTTCTCCCTCACCAAGTGGAATATTGAATCGGCAAAGTCCTGGGAAAAACACAACGGCTCCCTTAATTTCGACGTAACACAGTTTTTTGGGGACAGCACCCACTGGGTTTCGCTTCACTTTGGATATCTTCTCTGTTCATATAACATGGAGAAACCCGACCTTAGGGTCAACTTACCTGTTTACACAAATGCATGCTAAATGGAAAACTGACCATCTCATTTAAGCGTCTTGATATATTCTAGCTGGGCATTAATATGAGGACTTATTTAATTTGAGATAACATTTCTCCCTGTGTTCATTTGGCTTGTGTGCTCACTTTTACCTGGATGTGAACTGGGAGCTTCAAGAGCTGAGGTCAGTGAACAAAGTGTGTGCATAAATGCGAACTTAAAGGCCTTTCAAGACACATTGACTGGGTATTTATCACAGAACAAAGCATGGCGGTAATTCGCACGCTTCTTTGGGCACTTATGACTGGACTCGCATGACATTAGATTAACCGGGTCTCCTCCATTGTCTGTTTAATGATCACTATGATCGCAGCGATGCTGAGCTCTAACTATGGGGAGGACACATCCCTCCAAGAGAGATACGCCGCCATTGGTTTTTTGTGTCATTTGGCACACCTTAGCCTTTTTTTTTTTTCCCCTCATCGAGAATGAATCCCTGACAGCTGCTGTCTCTCTAATCGGCAGTAACTACGTAGATCATGTGAAGGTTCGAGTCTATTTCTTTCCCGTGTGGAAAATATAACAGGCATGGTTAATCTAAGTGTGAATACAATTTATTCCCCCTCTTTTGTTTTACACCAGGGATTTTGCGAAGCATAATAAACAATTAACCAAACGCCATCTAAAAGAAATCAGGCCATTGAATGTGCGTTTTATTGATGACCGAAATCAATCAAATAGAAATATATATATATATATAGACTGTTTTTCTAATGTTTCACACCATGACATGAAATGATACCTGCTAAAGGATCTGTAGGAGACACTGACTGTGGTTTTATATTTATGCAGTATCCTTAAGGTTAAGCTAATCAAAGCGACTGCAGATGTATAATCTATAAATAGAACCCATGCTCTTGTATGTTGCGTGTCGCTGGCCTGATTTTGTTCGTTGAGTTTAACATAAAGCATAAACAAAAACAAGAAACGTAGCCCTTAGCAAGTGTTGTCACCACCAGCGTGAATGCATTGATAAATTTGCCACTGCACGTAATTGTACATAACGCTGAAACGATTTCATGCACCCCACAGCCAAATATCACGCTGTTCTTGTTAATAATCTCATCTGGGCCTGTTAAGTTGCTTTGAACCATCCTTTTTTAAAAAAAAAAAAAAAAGGGCAACACTGTTGAAGTATAAGTTTCATTGGTAATGCTCAAAACAAAAATGACTCATTTTGTTCTCCGGATTTGTTTCTGTCCGCGGATGGCCGCAGTTAGAGGTGAAACATTTGTGAAACCTTCAACCCGAGAGAAAGGAGATATAAATTTGGATCGGGGATGAATGCGATTGCATTAAGAAGAGCTGGCTCCTCTTTGACTCTGCTCATTGGCCGCCGACAATGCGAGCACGGTTCAATCAGGTGCATCATTTCGGTCTATTCCTCGTTATGAAAGAGTCTGCCGACACTTCACCCAGTACAATCCCCAAGAATATCTCCCCTCTTGCTTTTTCTGAAGTGGGTAAACATGTCGGACACTACAGTTTTTTTTTCCTTTCACCAGCTGCCATCCGAAATCTTAAGCTTCCTTTGCAGTAAAAAAAAAAAAAAAAAAAAGAAGGAAAAAAAAGAGCTGCTTTCTGTTTCTGCTTTTATGCTGTCTTCCAACTCTAAATCTGACTTTCATGGGATGATGCATTGGATGTAGAATTGCCAAGTCGGAGCAAAATTACACCCCTCAGTTCATTCATCCCACTTTCATCTTTCCTATGGCCAAACCCCCCCAAACTTCCCACCAGACGTCCATTAAATTCACACTGCTCAACAGATGTTGTCAGGGCCCGCGCGCCTCGTTCACACTCCTCTGAAGCCCTAATGCTCTTCACTCCAGTTATAATTAAGGGGCTTAGTCTCCGGGCTGCCTCCACGCCAACTGTAAAGCGTAAATGGATCACCGGGAGATGGCAACAGAGTGGCAGCGGAGTGGGCCTCTTTTTGGACAGATTGAGCCCACAGTAGCTAAGAGGACAACAACAGATGCCACGGCGACAGACGCACAGAGCCGGGGAGGAGGGGGGAGAGAGATTAGGGGGTGGAAAAAGATGAGGAGAGCAAAATGAATTAGCGAACATATTGCACATTATAACCCTCATCAGAGCTGTGAAATACTCTCACAGTCAGAGCTGGCGGTTGAGGTGTTCACAGCTTGTGGTGTGGTGGGTGGCGTGTGGGTCCGTGTGTATGTATGCATAAGCACATATTGCCAGCTCTGACACTGATGTCAGGCTGGAGGCTCTTTTTTTTTTTTTCTTCTTTCTTCCTTTTGTTCTCTCGGAGAACGGAGCGGAAAAGTGTGGCGAGAAGTCAACGGGATGAATGGCTTCATCAAAAAGCTCGGGAGCTAACAGTCGCGTGTCTGCTCCCAGCCCAGATGAATGTAGTCATCTTTAACAAAAGCCGCCTGGCGAGAAAGTTGGATAACATGCTGCGACTTACTGCCTTTTTTTCTTCTCTTTTTACAGTGGTGACTCATGACAACACATACAATAAAACAACAACACAACCAAAATGGTAAACCATATGGACGGAACTCAAAATGAAAATGACTGCTTATCCAGCTAAGCTAAGCTCAAAAGTGTTTTTTTTCTAACTTAGCTCGATGTGGTAACCATGGTTCTTGCCCCGATGGTGACCCCCGACAGCAAAATCAGACAGACGAGATTGAAAAATCATCCCCGGCAGATTATTTAAAGTCTATGTCTGACACCATGTTTTCAGACTGATATCTGCTGTATTTCTATGTCTTATTTATGCCCTTTTTTGCCAACAGATCTTTTTTATTTCTGATACTGAACGCAGCACAGATTGAAAAAATGATGAATACAGGCCTAAATACTGGAGAAGGTTCAGTTAATGAAATTTTGATCCTGAGTTTTGGGAATTTTCCACTCTTATGGAACAATGTCAGAGCTAAGTAGCAGGAATATATTCACCTAATGTAAGACCACATATATACTTTAGATTATTCTGCTCTACTGGTCTGATCTCATCACAGATAAGAATGTTAGATGTAACCTTTGTGATCACAAAGCTGGTGGTGTGATGATTTGTGTGTTTATGTTCTGGCTTCCTCTTTTGGTGTCTTAGTTTTTAGTGTCATGTTCTATTAGCAGTCTTTTTTTTAATTACTTTTTTGGTGGCACCATGTCTGTTTTTTTAATCTGTCTCTCTTTTTAAGTCTTGTTTTGCAGGATGCTGAGACCTGAACTTTGTCTTTGCTATTTGGCCCAAATATCTGAGCTCATACATACAACAAAATTGCGATAGTGCCGACCCTTAATGGTGTCTTTGACAGTCCAGAAATAGTACTAATTTTAAAAAATTGGGAACACTTTTAATAATCCATCAGGACTACTTGAGGTGCAGAACCAATAACTGAAAATTAAATATCAACATAACCCCCAGTAGCTTCCTGATGTAGTGTGCATAAACAGTGTTAACAAAAACATTGCCTAATTCATTAGAATGCCGACTAAGACTTTATGCGTCTATGAAGCAGAAGCCTGCAAGTCAGTCTCTGAAGAGGGAGAAAAAAATAGACTTGTTTTCATTTCATGAGCTCCAGTGTTGCAGAGGGTTGTGATTCTGCACAGCAGCATGACGAAAAAAAAAGAAAAAAAAGAAAAAGGCGAATGGGGGGGAGGGATAAAAACGCCTTGTTTTTTGTACCTGAAAGTGACATCCAATTAATTTGAACAGAGAGCTGCTTGGCTTGGCAGCATCAGCTGGTGTCGGTCACAGTGTGAACCCGGAGTCAAGTCCTCCATCCCTCCTAAAGGCCTTTTCATTGATGACATTACAGAGGGGAGAGAAGGTGGCAGCTCAGAAAGGCCCGCAGAGCAAAGGTGGAATAGATCTTGGCAAGCAGCCCGGCTTTTTTTGGTCCGTCCCTCCATCCTTTTTCTCCCACTTCTCCCCCCTTTTTGCTCACCTCTCCCCGTCTCTGTCAGATCGCGTTTCCTCTCGCCTCCGTCCAGTCCTTTTTCTTTTCATTGTTTCTCACCTCTGCTTCCTCCTTTCTCCCTTAAACAACCCCTTGCCTCCTTCTCTCTCCCCCCCTCCTCTCCCTTCTCTTGCTTTGTCAGGGATCTCCTCTCTCATACACGCTGCTTTCTGATAGAGGGCGGTGATGTGCCACCAGCCAGTCGGAGACTCTCGTCTCCTCGCCCCGGCGAGTCGGAGTGAGAAAAACAAACATCATCCGGCACACCTGACCCAAATTGGAAAGCGGGCTACGATTTACAGCTGGGTTTCCCCCTTCAGTCCTCTCAGTTACCGCCTGTTTATGTCAGCCAGTATCTCAGCAAATGCATATACCTGGGCCTTTCTGCCCCACTATTTTTCTTACACACACACACACATGCACACACTCTCTTTGCTCGTTGGGGGGTTGAGTGCCACCTTCAGCGTGGGCCTAATGTGGCAGAAAAACGGGGCCAAGGTATCTCACTCAGACCATGGGGGTTCATCGAGGTTAGCGGGCGCTCCACGCTTTGGAATCTGGTGTCCAGCGTCTGTTTCCAGGGGGAAAAAAAAAAAAAAAACCCACAGAAGCTCCTCTCCTGCGTCAGCTCGGAGCGATTTTGCCGAGCGATTCCTGGTTCGCGGGAAAAAACAAGCCGTTATTTAGTGACCGCAGCTGCAACGGATGAGATCTGCTGTCCCCATCAAGAGGAGGAACCGAAGTAAAAGGCCAAACAATAAAGCCAGTGTTCCGAACTCAGGGGCCCACTCATGAACTTTGTGCAGATATCAGAGAGAGGAGCTAGAAGTGGACGGAATTAAGGGCCGTATTCCCACATATCTCTCTCTTTCT